TCCTGAAGCAACGAATATTTGTTCACTGAGATTATTTATTTCATAGTTTTATCTCAGCAGTACTAGCTAAAATGGAAACTGTATGTTTCATGGTGTAACCTGTGAAAGAAAACTGGCTACACAGCACCCAAGCTGCAAATGATAACTCCTTTTTGAGAATGTAATTAGCCATCACGAATTTTCTCAAGAAAAATTTCCATGAAATTTAACAGCATACAGGCTAATATAGAAGTAGAAGCCTAATATATAATCAGTGCAATGACACCTATTTAGATAAACCATCTATCTGATAGTAAAATAAGTCTGCAAACGTTTCAGTGGAGAAGACCTCATAAAGTACTTGTGTTTGACTAGAGGCTCTGCATAAGCAGTAGTAATACATTAAGAACTGTGGACCATTGGGTTCCTGGACAGAACCTTTACTCCTTCCTCAGTGAGAAAATAAAACCCAGAAAGAGAATGTTCATTTAGAGGGTTGCCCTTAAATTCAGTGTCCTAAAAGAGGATATTCCAGAATAAATTTACTTTCTTTATATTTAGCCTTATCATTTTATATAAAAATGCTTAAGGTACTTAAGAACTATTTCACACACATTTTAAAAAGACTAACAACATTACTCATTCACCATAAAGCACTGGTGGTAATAAAGACAACTCACCTACTTTTTACCCTCCCAATTACTCCTTAGTATTCATTAAAAGATTGAAAATATCTGGAGTATGATAAGAATGCCATTCTTTTTCTTTTCTAAGATTTTATTTATTTATTTTTAGGGAGGGAAGAGAGAGAGAGAGAGAGAGAGAGAGAGAGAGAAACATCAGTGTGCAGTTTCTGGGGGTTATGGCCTGCAACCCAGGAATGTACCCTGGCTGGGAATCGAACCTGGGACACTTTGGTTCCCAGCCCATGCTCAATCCGCTGAGCTATGCCAGCCAGGGCAAGAATGCCATTCTTAAACACTGTGAAATTTAACTCTGTAAGCCTCATTACCACATGCCTTTTCAGTCCCTGACTGCAGGGGAGCCACTGCCACAGACGGCCGGCAGTCTTTGTTCAGATAACACGCCACCTCTCGAAAAAAATGGAGTAATCTCAGAAGAGTCAATATGAGTCAGGAACGAAGGGCCAAAACTTATCTTCAGTGCATTCCTAGCAGGTTACTGTGGCTATCAATTTGATATGGATATGATTGTGAAATACATTGAAAATGAGCCTAAAACATGATCTTAATTATTCAAACCGTTTATCTTAATTACTCAAAAAGCTTTAATGACTGCTGTTTGCCCACCTCAGAGAATCTCAGAGAACCATGATGTGAAGACCAAGAAGGGTGCAGTAGCCAATGAGAGTGTGAGTGAAAGCCGGACCCAAGGAGTAGAAGAGCAGAATGCTCAGGGTGGGGTAGCATTTCTAGAAGTGGGCAAATAATGCAACATGGGGCTTGAAACAAAACAATTGGGGATGAATATATTGTTTGTTATGTAACATGGTTTCTAATTAAAATTTATTACTGAAGGGATTAAGGAAAAGGGACTCATGGAAGGGCAACAGTGCGGTGGTTGCTAGGGGAAGGGGGTATAAAGGGACTAAATGGTGATGGAAAATATACAGTAAAGATTAAAAAATTATTATTGCAATTTAAAACACAGTATAGCCCTGATCTGTGTGTCTCAGTTGGTGGAGCATCATCCCACAAAGTGAAAGGTCACCAGTTCAATTCCCGGTCAAGAAATGCCTGGTTTGGCCCCTCATCAGGGTGCGCAAGAGAGGCAGCTGGTCAATGCTTGTCTCTTACATCAATGTTTCTCTCCCTCTCTTTCTCTCTCCATTCCTTTCTCTCTAAAAATAAGTAAATAAAATCTTTTAAGAAGTAAAATGAAATACATAATCAAGAAAACACTAGATTTTAGCAGAAATAGAGGAATTGGCATAATTCAGAAGCATCCGTGTTGGCTGATAGTTGATATGTTTGCTAAGCCAGACAATGAAGAGAATGAAACCTACAGAGAAAATACTAACAATTATAAACAAAGAGAATGCAAGATTGGTTAGGTACTGGAAATAGTAGGGAAACACCATTGAGGAAAAGTATATGAAAGTAAAGTGTAATTGAAAATAGAAAAAGAAGCATGGGAGAGGACACAGACACAATGTCCTGCAGTGGAGTGTTTGGGGATAAAAGGAAAGCTAGACTCTCAAAACAGTGTTATCTCCACAAAGATTGATTGAGGGATGTACTAGGAATTTTTGTTACAAATTTTGCAACAATAATCTTGACATAAGTAGAAAAATATGGAATCATTATCTAGGATGATGTTTCCTAAGTATCTAGAAGCCTAACCACACAACATGCTCTAGACTTCAATCAATATTAGCTTGCCCAAATGATTGTTTAAATGACTCATCAGCACGTAAAGCTTACCATGTTCAAATTATCACTTTGATCACTTCATCTTAAACCATATGCTCTAAAATGCAAAAGGAAAAAAAAACAAAGAAAAGATAAGGACAGAAAAGGAAAGGAAAAGAAAATGTGATGGCTACTGACCCAATTGCAAAAAAGAAACATCACAAATTTCTTTCTTGGCCAATCCCCCCAAGCTGTTGTTCCCTACTACCTATCTTATACAGTTCATACTATACATTAGGTTGGAGATTACATCTTGTTTCTGCCCCCATCTGTTAAATTTAGATCTATGTCCAGATTCTCCACTTTGTCCCAATCAGCATTAACTTTCACCAATAATCACACAACTGCTTAACTAATTTTTTAAAAAATTTCCACTAATAATTCCTACCCCCTTTCTAATTCTATCATTTATTGTCATTGCTACAGCAAAAGCTGTTATTCGTCTACTTTAAAATTTCTCAATGGCTTACAATTCACTTAGAATAAAATCCAGATATTGTAACCTACATTATTTGATTGGACTGATTCTACCTACTCATTATTATCCAATCACTCTGGCTTCCATTAGGTTTCCCCTCAAAAACAAATAACAAAACCCTAAGTTATTTCTTCTCCCAGAGCAGGATTCCTGCCTGGAATCCTAGAATAGTCTTCCTGTAATTTTTTAAATACTGGGTTTCATCACATGCATTATGTTTTACTCACATGTCACCCTCTCAGAGTGTCTTTCCCATAACATTCCCCATGAAATAATTCTCCCAGGTTGTTCTGATGTATCTTCCTGTTTAATTACTTATGACACTTACTGTAATCTGCAATGATCATGTTTATATGTTTCTTTATCAACCTTCTGTCTCTTCCTTGTTATTGAAATAGAAAGTCCATGATGTGAGAAACAAGTAATTTATCTGAAGCTTGAACATTACCTGATACACATAGGACATCAGCAAATACTTGGTGCAAAACAATAAATAAATAAATAAAATCAAGGGGGAATTATATTTGGTGTCAGAAGCAAACAGATATCAAAAAAAATCAAGTAAAAATACATTAGATGTTATTTTTGTTTTACTTCTCTAATTCTTTTTATGCATCACTACAGAATAGTTTATTTTATTTTATTTTATTTTTTATATAAAGAGAGAATGTCAACAACTCCGAGCTTTTATAGTTCAGCCATTTTTGATATATAGTATTTTTTAAAACTATTTAGGTATGATTGGATCCAAAAAGCTGTACATGTTTAATGTACAATATACAATCTGATGAATTTAAAGATAAGTATGCATTAGAGAAACCATCACTACAATAAACATCCATCACACCCAAAACTTGTCTCGTGGCTTCTTTATTTTATTACTATTCTTATCATTTTATAATTATATATACTTCTGTAAGTATATATAAAATTTAGCTAAACATTAGATTTTGTGATAAATAATGATATAATCTTGGCTTTCTGGAACTTAACTTCAAATCTTCAGATAAAAGAGTATTATAGGGCATCTTTGGGCCAATTGCTTACCATTTGTCAAATTGTGATGGGGAAAAATCCCTAGCTGGCTTAGTTAGGAGCAGGTTAACATCCTTAATACAAAATTCTCTCAAAAAATAGTCACATTACAATTATAGTGTGTGGATTTTTTGGCAAATACATATAATGTAATTATCACAGAATATCTTTAAAATAAATGTTTTCTACTATTACAATAATGAAAAATAATAAAAATGTTAAAAGTGTTAAGAAAAACATTAACTAAAATTAAGGCTGGATATATTTTATAGAATTTTAAAATAATATTATGCAATTATATAAATAAAAATGCTGGTTAAAATAAGAATAGTGGAAAGCATATGAGGATTTGTACAAACTTGTGGGGCAAGAAGGAAAAGAGTTATGAGAGAGAAAAAAAAGGAAGCTGTATCCAGTAAAGCACAGAAATGATGAAATTTTCAGAGATAATTTTTAAAACTGTAAAGATAATCTTAACCTGTCAAATAAACCTGTAGATACACCTCTACGTATTTCTGTTTGAATTAACTACACAGAAAATAAGTAAAAACAGTAAACAAATGTGGATGGTAGAATATGCAAGTTCATCGTGCTAATAGAAGTTACAGATGATAAAAAAAATGGGACAGAATAGTGACTAACACCTACTCTGAAAAGAAAGCAAGAAGTCTCTGATGAAGAAATTATAAGAAGATGTTGAATTATTTTGGAATATACAATTCCTCAAGCTGTTTTCATACTCAGTACAAGGGACATAAGATAAAATGTTTGTTTGCTCGCTAATAATATACTCATAAGTAAATATGATGGTAAAGAAGTAAATCTTCAAAGTTCATGATGCTGGATCATGTGTTTAAATTGACATACTTGCTTTTTTCTCTCTGAAATGATTGGAAAACTTATATATTTGACCTAGAACCTTGAGTTTAATAACTGAGTTAGAATAATACATGATTCAGGAAATCTCTCCCAAGGAATTGCCCCTGCCACTTAAAGGCAGTGCCGGGAAATGGGTCCTTAAACTTTCTAACCACTTCTCCTTTTCTTCTCCAAACAGATGAATTCCACACTTTTTCATGGCTCCTGAAAATTCCACCTGGGTCACTGAGTTTATTCTCACAGGTGTTTCAGACCATCCAGAGCTCCAGATCCCACTGTTCTTTGTTTTCCTGGTCACCTATGGGCTGACCATGGCAGAGAACCTGGGCATCATCACCCTCACCAGTGTCGACTCTCAACTTCAGACCCCCATGTACTTTTTCCTCCGGCACTTGGCCGTGGTCAATCTTGGCAACTCTACTGTCATTGCCCCTAAAATGCTGATCAATTTCTTAGCAACGAAGAAAACCATCTCATACTATGAATGTGCCACCCAACTGGGAGGGTTTTTGGTTTTCATTGTAGCTGAGGTTTCCATGTTAGCTGTGATGGCCTATGACCGGTACGTGGCCATTTGTAACCCCCTGCTCTACATGGTGGTTTTATCTCACCAGGTCTGCCTTCTGCTCGTGTCCCTCACTTACCTCTACAGCTTTTCCACAGCTATTGTGACGTCATCGTCTGTGTTCTCTGTGTCTTACTGCTCTTCCAATGTAATCAATCATTTCTACTGTGACAGTGTCCCTCTGTTAGCATTGTCCTGCTCTGATACTTCCTTTCCAGAAATGGTCATTTTTGTATCTGCAGGTACAAACTTGGTTTGTTCCATGACTATAGTTCTAGTGTCTTATTTCAATATTGTTCTGTCCATTTTAAGGATACGTTCATCAGAAGGAAGGAAAAAAGCCTTTTCCACATGTGCTTCGCATATGACAGCAGTCATAGTGTTTTATGGGACACTATTATTCATGTATTTGCAGCCTCGAAGTAGCCATTCATTGGACACGGATAAAATGGCTTCCGTGTTTTACACACTTGTGATCCCCATGCTGAATCCCATGATCTATAGCCTGAGGAATAAGGACGTGAAGGCTGCCTTAAAGAGATTTCTGACCAATGTGTGCTGTTCTATTAAATCAATGTAATTTCAGGATCTGTAAGTAAAGGGAGAGATGGGTAAGATAGGCTGCCATTGTGTCAGAGAAAACAAAGGTCAGGGGGTAACTTACAGGTTTTCAAGTAATCCTGGAAATTAAAAGGGGCTAGGATTTGGGAATTAAAAAAATAAACTAAATGTCTTGTAGTCTAGAAATATACAGAAATAACACTTAGAAATATACAGAAATATACACTTAGAAATACACAGAAACTAGGTAACTTTGTTAAGGAGTATGCAGGTAGCTAGATTGAAAGAAGTATTTTTAGGAGTCAGGAGAATCTAAGTTAACAACAATTAAATAAGTTAAAACTAAGCAATAATATATAGAGGAGAGAAGTAAGTCAATCTTTTTTAATTTTTTACTTCTTTTTTTATTCCTGGATATGTTCGGGTACAATGGATCATTTTATCTTGCAGAATTGTAATTACAGATGGCTAAAAACCTTCTTACAGCTAAGTCAGCAAAATTAAAGTGATAGTTTATTTAAAATAAAACTAACTCTTTCTTAATATCATTTGAATGAAAAATATACAGTACCAGTGAGTTTGTATTCTAAATGCTAACCAATATATGGTGGCAATGATTTGTATTCCAATTCATATAATTTATACAACTTTTTAATAAAAGACACATAATATCATCATTTAATATGCCTCATTCTGTGTACTATTTGATAAACTTTGTGCATAAATTCTAAAAAGTTTCCTTTTTAAATATGAAATGTACTGCGTTGTGACTTGCCATATCAGAATTGGGTCAACCAATGTGACAATAAATTAATGGAGTGTTATTATTTATATAGTGCACTTAACTATGCTGAGCATTTCCAATAAAGAAGAACAATAATCCTTCTTCAAATTAATTTACCAAAAATATGTAGAGCTCTAGATAAACCATGTACCTGATGCATTAAGACTATCCTAGAAAATATTGTATTTCATTTGGACCCTTGAGTATAGAGAGAATGATAAATGCTCAGTGCTTAATGATAAAGTGTATTATGTCCATTAAAATATCATGCACAAACTAACAATGCTATGAGTACTACTTTATTTATAAGGATATTCTAAATATCTTTCCTACTCTTCCAAAGTTTCTTCGTAAAACCATTAAGTAAGTACTCACCAATCTTATTTGTTTTATACCTCCTCTGTCCTGTGGATCAGAGTACTTGGGTTTCAGTAATTACTTGTCACATTTTTTAAAAAGATGATGTCTAGAGTAAATAGATGATGAACAATGAATTTACTAACCTATTATTGTATAGACCCTAGTATTATATTTTACATAGAAAAAGGAGATCTTGCTTAAAGATTACTATTTTTAAAAAGAAATGAGAGAAAGAAAATCTTCTTATACTGTCAATCAAAAGTAATATTGTTTTATGCCAAACAACATGATGTGAGGCAAAAAGTGGCATCAAGGATGGAAAGGTCAAATGTCAATAAGAGAACGGGGTGGGGAACAGGTGGAAAGCATGAAGACATTTTGGTACCCTTGTGCCCTGGGCTCTATGTCTTCATAGCCTTCATAACATATGTTATATGTATGTACAGCCTAAACATCTCTTAAGGACCACAGATTATTAGAAATATAATACCGGACTATCATATTACAATTACAAGCAATGTGACACAAGAAGACTGTGTAGTATTTCTGAATTATGACTTGAGCATCTTAACCACAGAGGGAGGCAAAAATAAAAAACCAGAAACCAACATATCAGACTCATAAAACTGCCCTAAAAGCTTAGTTGCTTCTCATGTTCAATAGGGACTGACACCATTTATTGTTATCTACTTATGACAACAGAGACGAACTACAAGACCTCAAGTATACAACAAGAGTAAGATTATGACCATCAAGGGAGGTGTGGGAAGGTAGAAGAGAATATGGGGGGATACATGGTGATAGAAGAAGACTTGACCTTGGGTGATGAACATACAATACAATATACAGATTACGTTTTATAGAATTGTGCACTGGAAACCTATGTAATTTTATTAACCAATGTCACCTCAGTAAATTCAATAAAAAAAGAAAGATTATGACCCACAAAAAAGCAAAGTTGAAACAATTTCTAAACTGGCATCAAATGTCATCACATTTCCTAAAACAGGAAGATAAGAAAAGCTAAGAATCAAAAGTTTTGCATCACCTGTTATGACCAGTTTTGACACAAAGAATTCATTTCTGATTTATAAATTAATTTATGTGAACAGACTTAACTAAAATAATTAAAATGGTTTCACTCATATGTGGAATCTAATGAACAAACTGAACTAACAAGCAAAACAGACAGACTCACAGATGGAGAGCAGATGACAGCTAGAGGGGAGGGTGGCTAGGGATGGAGGGATTGAGTAAAAAGGAAAAAGGACTCATGGACATGGACAACAGCGTGGTGATTGCTGGGGGAAGAGATTATAAGGGGACTAAATGGTAATGGAAAAAATAACAAAGATTTAATTTAAAAAATTTAAGTGCACATTGCTAAACAAAAGAAACCAGCCTAAAAAGACTATATTATTTATATGACATGCAAAAGGCAGAACTAAAAAGATGGTAAACAGATCTTTAATAATGCTTCTATAAAAAAATGAATTCTGAAAGGGATGTGTTGTATGAAATTTGATTTCATCTGTATTGAAATAGAGTTCACAGACAAATTTGGGGTTCCCAGGACTGCACTTTTCTATTGTTGTCATAATCATTTTCTAAGCATAAAAAATCTCTAATTTATCAGTAAGATAAGAGTTTTCCCTTAATTACATGTAGGCTCAAAGAGCTTGTCCAGAGACATAACTAATGTTTCTAAGGCTTTTTTTATTGTTTTCTGTTTTTGTTTTAAATATTGTACCACATACAATGATCAAGCATCCAATACCAAATCATAGCATTTTATAACAAGGCACAAGCAGAACAGACATTTTGCCAATTGTACCAGATGTTTCCCAGGTGCAAAGACTAGGAGAGGGGCAATAGAAGAGGGTATATTTATTAAAGAGTTATTATCTGGAACATAGAGTTTAAACATATATAATTCTTATCTTGATCATAACTTATACAATTGATCTAGGTTGTGATTTCTAAGCATCTTCTATATTTTCTCTTTTAATCAAAGTGTCCTGTTCATATACCATAAAAAAGAATGTAAGATTCTATCCTTCCCTCCCTTAGATTGTAATCCAGTTTTATAATGAAAGATTTTTTTAAACGAAAAGTAAGGGCAAATTTTAAATTCGTAATCACTATATAAAAACACAAATCCACCCATTTTCCCAACACACTAATTTGACAATACATTTCTTATTCATCATCTAGTTTGGAGTGACTAGGCTGCCAGCTAATGCACAAAACTTTTACCTAATGTCCTGTGCACACAGGATGGAGGGGCAGCCCTTGGAGAAACTGGATACACATTTCACAGAAAGGTATCTGTCACATTTTGTAAAAGGTAATTCTTGTCTGCTTTTAAAAGTGAAATCTGATGACTGACACTGATAATCTACAACAAAAATAATTTTAAAAAATAACCATAATATTTTAAGAGTTAGGAGAATCTTAAAGCAATAATGTTATGCTCCAGGCAGAGCTGTAGATACAAAGTTCTTCAAAAATAGGGAATTCGATGAATAAATCTTCAGCCTTCCTCAGCATCCTGGGGGAGCTGGGACTGTACTTTTCCTGATGATTTTGCTTGCATCTTGCATCATGTTTTGAGGTAAGATCCTTTGGGACAGAGACATTGACAAAGCTATGGAGTCATCTGCTAACCAGAACCATTATGAGGAGACACAGGAGCACCCTCTATGCAGGTAGGTTAGCGAGGATATTTTAAAATGGTGGCTTTTACTCACTGATGTGAAATAACATTGCTATAGTAGCTGAAGATGAAATTTTAAAAATTAAAGATGAAATACAATGGGCTAGAATAAACAAGTTTGAAGTACATTTTGTAGGTTAAAGATAAACAGCGTTTTCTCTGATTTTATATTTGTCTTGATGAAAGTATCATCTAGGTTTAAAACTGAAGGACTGGAAGAAAGTGAAGAGATAACTTCTACAAATCACTTTTCTAACTTGAGTTTCAATACATCCTAGTGATTTTCCCAAGCTCATGTAGTTAATTAAAGTCAGAACCAGGTCTAGAAGTTAAGGTTGAATAAGCATTATTGTATTCATATATTTAGGATCTATAGAAATTATACATGTACTTAATTCCATTTTTTGCATGTTCTCTATTTGAAACCTTCTTTGCCTTAATTATTTCCCTATTGTTTTCAATAATGTTTTCCCAGGGAAACATTATCTCTACCAAGTCTCCTTAAAGTCTTCAAGTTACAGGGCCTCCTCTCATACATTCCCTTTGTATCCAGCACTTAGCTCCATCAGATTATTAGAGCTCACTATTCTCAACTTGTTTGATTGCTATCTTTCTCTTCTTGCACTGTAAGCTTCTTGATGGCTGAACTCTGACCATTATTTGTTGTCACCCCAAAACCCAGAAAGATATTTAATACATAAGAAACAGTCAATCAAGATTATTTTTTAAATATTTTATTTTTATTGTGTTCTTTCCATTACCATTTAGTTCCCTTATACTCCCTCTGCCCAGCAATCATCACACTGTTGTCCATGTGCATGAGTCTTTCTTCCTTTTTTAGTCCTTTCAGCCCCTAAGTCCCCACTAGCTGTCATTCTGCTCTCCATCTATGAGTCTGTCCCCATTTTCTATTTAATGCATACAAAATTGCAAATTAGGTATTGACTTATATTGCTCATACATATTATCTATAAATGTATATAAATCTAAATATATACATATATACTTAGGTTACAGAACATAAAAATTCCAGTTTAGAATCTATAAGGAAGTTTGGAAAAAGCAGGCATATGATTGACCAAATTATAAACTATGTCAAACCATGCTTTCTAGATTGATAGTAGGTAGAGTTTTTACTCAGGATTAGTGCCAACTGTGT